TGATCCAGGCGGTCCACTCCTCCCGTTTTTTGTTGTTGTAATCTTTTACAATTATTGTTTTTGTTTACAGTTCTTTTCCGTGTTCCAACATCGATCATCGAGTTATGGACTGTACTCATCAAAAGTATATCCTTCTTGTTTTTCCAATTCACAACCTTAATTTTTCTCTTCTTCTGCTAGTAGACGTTGAAGTCATATCTCACTGTCTTGTTTCTTGTGTAAAATGGCACAAATATTCATAAAACCCGGGGCAAATTCAATTAGAAATAGAATGCCTGTTTAGTGCTGCCCTTTAGGAGGTATTAGAACAAACAAACATAAAAACTCAAACAAGGAAACATTTAGAAAGCGCTTTAAATGTTTAAAAGTTTTAATATATAGAAGAACGCTTGAAGCGCATTAGGCCCCCTTGCGGAAGTTTCACTTGAACGCGCTAGTCACGTTACGGACGACGAAAAGGTTAATGAATGCATCTGGGTTCACAATCTCTTTCCTGTTATTACTAAGGACACAAAACACCTACCATCATAAGAAACAGAAAAGTTGAACTAACTTCAAGCTGATTCAATTTTGAAGCTCAAATTAACCCTCTGACTGCTCCATTTGTGGAACGAAAAAAGCTTCCAAAATTGCGTTTTTTTTTTTTTTTTTTTTTTTTTTGCATATTTTAAATCTATATATATATAGGAGAATTGAAAAATGCACTTTTTCTTTCTAAGAAATATTTTTATATATAGATTTTTATCATGAGAAACTAAGTTGCCAGAAAAATCAATTTCAGATGTTATCTCAAAAAATCTTTTTTTAAATAAATTTCAATCGAATTACAGTTAATTTCTATTTATTGCATAATATAAAAAAGTAAAATGTATAAAATTTAAGAAAATATAAAGCACTGAGGAAAAAATACCTTAAAAATGCAGTTTAGTATCATAGAGTTCAAACTTCACAGTACTTGTACCAAATTCAATAAATCTAATTAATAATTAATCTAATTATTAATCTAATCAATAATTTAATTAAATAATCAAAATAATCACTAAATATTTTCTAGCAGCCATTTCTGTAAGAAGAAAGCTGCAAAAAGTGAAGTTTGAGCGCTAATACCACGTGCTTTCAAATGCCGCAATTTAGTGGACAACTAACGATATCTGTTGGCCGAAACATAAACTAAACATCTAATACTGTATATAATTTATATTAATGGTTAAACTGCGAAAAAACGAGATGTGCTCCTCGATAAAGGAAGAAAAACATATGCCTGCAGAATGAGCAAATTTTGCTACATTTGAGTTGCCCATGGAAATCGCAGGATGATCAGCCAGAGGGTTAAGGGAAGAAACGTTCTGTAAGTTTTGGATATTAGTGAAAGGAGAGCTCTCATTAGTATCTGTATTACTTCCATTTTTAACCATATATCTGTGAACAAGGATTTTCGGGATGAGGCAAAAATTAGAAATGTGAGCAACTTCTTTCAATGTCGAGTGCGTATGTCTGTTGTTCTGCTGTGCACTGAACAGTTGTACGGAAGGAGACAAGACCGTTTCATACTAAACTACTACAACTATGTAACATTTTTTTAATTACATATTTTTTAGTTTGTATCGCAAGTAATTTCAGTACTACATCGGACCATGTTTAGATTTCTGAGACTTGTTTAGCAGTACTAATTTCAACCTTTCCTTTATCTGCCATGTTCATAAAAACCTGGCTTATTTTTATTCAGAAACAAACAGTTTTTTTTTTTTTTTTTTTTTTTTTGTGATTTTGTTACCAGTGATGATAAAGATTTGAAGGATGCCATTTAGGAATGGTTTGAGCTTCATTAGGAAGTGATTATGACAAACATATCCCTTCTGGAATCTGATATTTATTTGATGGCTGTGCTAAGTCAAGGAAAACTGTGTAGAAAACCAAGGAAGTAATTTTATGCATTTATTTTGTATTTCTAGGTAACTGAATGTACGATGATTATTTATAATACAGTCAAAAGTCGTTAATTCGGACACCCATAATCCGGAATGATCTATAATCCGGACCTCAAAGCTAAAAAACTTTCTGCGCATGCGCCGCGTTGGCACATGCGCACAGTCGTTTTACGTGTGCGCGTAAGACTTTGACTACTGCGCATATGCGTGTTGCGCAAGTGCAGAATACGTTTTTGCCTGCGCGTTTAATGTATAACGGACGGTGTTGTTGTTTTTTGTAAGCTAAAATTATCTAATTATCTATTTCAGTTAATGTTAATGATTGCGTTGTTCCTTAATCTTCGAATTGGATCCCGCTTATATTTTTGGCAGACTGTTTGGACTGTTAGAGCAATTTTATAAAAAGTAAACTTGAAAACTTTCGATTATGTCAAATAGAATTTCCGATGCTGGAACTTCCAAAGGATCTACAAAATGAAAGTATGTTTCGATGTCCAACAAACAAAAAGTGGAATTGCTGCAAAAAATGGATAAAGACAGGAAGAATGTGACAGAGAGGTTAGTGAAAACGAAAAAATTTCGATTGACAAGTTAGTCGGTATTCTCAGCACAGCAATTAACTGGACTTGAACAGCGGAACTTTGTAACTGAACAAGAAATTATGTCTGTTTATAGAGTTAAAGAGAAAGTATTATCACATAAAACGAAGCAACTTAAACAACTTGCATTGAAAGAAATGTTTAATAAAGTAAACAAATAAATATTAAGCTTTTTTTTTTTTGGTAAATTTTGATACCTTTTAGATCATAATTGTTCTTTATTTCATAAATTACGGTTTCATATTTTTAATTTTAGAATTTCTGCATACCATCTTACGAGATTTAAACTGATGATCTATAATCCGGAAAAATCGATAACCCGGAATCGCCGAAGTCCCGACGAGTCCGGATTAACGACTTTTGACTACTCCTATGCTAACTAAACATGGGTATCATATGAGGATGTTTGTTAGTGTTAAAGCTATGATACGAGTTTTGCTCTAGTGCCTTCAGTAGATAATAATATGGTGATTTAGGTATTTATACAATTTATGTTAAAAGGCAAGCATGTAATTTGCTAGCCATGTGGCATATTTTTTCTTCACTGCCTCATTTTATTTGAAAGCAGTATTAAATAGTAAATTTGTTTTCATTAATTCATTTTAAAAGATTCATTTATGAATTGAGAATTATCTTGTCTTTTATGAATATATGCAAGCCAATACTGTGTCAAACTAAATACTCTTTATCAAACTTTGTTAATCATGAATACATATTTTTTTTAATAGCTCTCCACGTCCTGTTGTTGTTGAGCCACTGGAACAAAGAGATGAAGAGGATGGCCTTCCAGAAAAAAATTTCCAGAAAACAAATAAGCAGTATCTAAAGGAACGAGAAATAGGACCTCGTTTAGCTGAACCTGGTACTTTTGAATATGAGTTTGCTAATCGATGGAAAAAACTGTATGAATTGGAGCAGCAAAAACGAGAACACTTAGAAAAAGAAATAGAAGAAGGACGTCGTCAGCTTGATGAGCAAATGGAATATGCTATTTATGAACACGAGGCTAACTTGTTGAGAGAAAGTAAGTTATGCTTTGATGAAGTAATTTTTATTAAAATATTTTGTCTGCTAATATTCTTCACTCGTTGGTACCCAAGATTAATCATATCTTTTCTTTAGTTGGTTATCTGCTTGTCATAAACCTGTTATTCAATTTAAAAAATCTTAGTAGGAAAATGTTTTAGCTCACTTGCCATTTATAATGTATTTGAAAAGTGTGTGGTAGTTAAAATCTCGAACGATTTAATCCTGGCATGAGTTCATATCTGTCATATCATTTGTTCCCGAGCAAAATGCATGATCATAAGCCAAGAATATGGTTAAAAAAAAGCTTAAGAGTTTTTATGTTATGTTATGCTCAGCTGTGGTAAGATAGCTTTCCTTTAAATTGGGTTTAGGGTTGGCAGATTTGGCTCAAAATCGCCAATTTGAATAGAAAGATATGTCATAGAAGGAAGGAAGATATTCTTAGAGCTTTTCGCCGAGAATATGCTCGAAGGTAGGTTAAAGCTATATATATATATGTCATAATAAGAGCAAAGGAAAAAAAGATGGAGCAGTGTAGATGCATGATTAGACCCATACTGAAAAAGAATTTGATTGCGTAGTATGCTAGTAATGCTAATTTGGTAATATCTAAAGAACTTGGCAGTCGAAGCAGTTTTAATTCCATTTTTATTTCCAATTGATATTTGTGGCCACAATCACTTGGCACTCTAATCGTGCCTTTACACAGAAGATTTATATTTTTAATATTGTTGAGATAGAAGCAAGCCAGCGAAATTACATCTTAGCACAGTAGAGAGCAAAAGCTGAAGTGCGTAGTTATGAAAGATGGAAGCACGCGAAGAGAAAAGTTTTGGTTTACAATTCGGTGATTGGTCGTCAAGAGGCATCTGGTATTAACGGTTACATAAGATCGCATGATTAATTTGAATGACGCAATGCAGATAAGTTATTACGATTTTAGAATAGAGAGGAAGAATTAATGTTTATAGTTATAATTCTGATTCATACATTGTTATCTTACATATATATACACCCTGCCTGTACGGAAAGAAAGCTGTATGTTGAGTTTAGAGATTAGCTTGAGAGTGACCAAACTGTATCAGGAGTTTAAATTTAATACTTTGCCATGAAGTTGTCTTCATCGTAGTAGCCTGAAAGTTGTGTTGCTGGTTGTTTTATGGTTCTCTTAGTTTCTTTAGGACTCCTTTGGAACTCTCTTGTGTAATATTGTCAAATAAGTTGTCCGATTCTTCATCAAGTGTTATCGTCAATTACTCCAAATCCCACAAAAACCATGGAGCGCAACAGCACTGTTGAGTTTTGGAATACTGGGTTAGAAACAGTAAAAAAGAAAATATGATTTATTGTTGAATATATTTATTTAAATTTATAATATATTTTATTTATGTAACTTATATCTAATCGATAATTTATGAGCATTTCCTGTTATTGTAATTGATAAAATAGATTTTGGTACTTGTCTTCAGTAGTTGGCTTAATAAATAAGTTTGTTTAGCAGTATATTTTTGAGAAACAATTACCAATCTGCGTATGCATGAGAAACAAATGATTAGCAATGTAACTTGCCTTCATAATTGCATTCTATAAATTAAATAGTTTTCGTATTGTAAAATATTCATTCTTACTATTTCAAGTTTCCATCAATATAAAAAAGTTGTAGTGTATGTTTCAGACAAGGCATTATAAGCAGTATATGCTGAAGAATTTTCTGCTATATTTATATTTTTTATAAATAGCTAACATAAACAATTACTGGATATGATTGATAATATGATACAAAACAATTACTGTGTATGATCAATAATATGATACAAAACAGTTACTAGATATGTTGATGGTAGCTGCTTTGTATATGTTATTTTAAATAAATTACATACATAATTATATTAAATACAGTTAATGCATATATGAAATACAAATTTATACAAATGCAAATTTTGAAAATATATATATATATATAAATATAATTACAAATTTTGAATGAATTGTGGATTTATCTTTTACCATGTGTTTTTCATTTTAGTGGATATGTACAACATTTGGCAACAAATTGCTGTGTCAGCCTAAAATGGGCTAATGCCCTTTTTTTGTAGCCAAGGTTGCTGCAGAAGACAAGTACTCTTATTTCTAATGCTATGTATGTTGATAGAGAATAATCATTGTGTGCCTTCTAATATTTTCTTTTTAAATCGTGGGCTAAGACATAAAGTGATTGTATTGTTAATTTTCTGCGATCGGTTGCTTTTCGAAATTATTTGTTCAAAGATACTAGATATTAAGCTAAATATTCGATTATACTGCTAGTTAATGCTTTACTGACTGTGCCATAATTTAAATCAGGAGATTTTTATTCTTATAGCATATATTCCAAATGTAGTTTGTGTTGCATTTTACTTTAAAATTTTTAGCAGTAGTAAATATTAATTTTGATGTGATAATTTTCCGTTTTAGGATTACGTCACATGGAAGAACAGAGTAACATCATTCAACGAGAAAGAGAACTCAGGTGATAATCTTTTAACATTTTTTTTTTATTTTAAGAAAAAATTGTAAATTTATGTAATTGTCAATAAATCAGCAATAATTAGTATGGCTGAAAAAATTTCAAAATAAGTTGCAATATTTTTATATGTTTGTTTTTAAATCAAGGCTATTAAAAATACTGAGAGTAATAAAGTGCTGTTAACCCTTTCATGACGGCGCATCTTTGTTTAACCCCTTCGAGCCGGGTAGCGAAAATGCGCGCTTATTGCGGAGGCCGGCAGTGTCTTCCGCGAGCGTCTCTCCAGGGCCGGGGGGCTTTTTTGCTACTAAGCCTAAATCCATGAAATTTCCGAAGTATCAACACATTGTTTAATAGTGCTCTATAGAGTATTTAAACAGCTTATGCTTTATAGATATTTTTATATATATACTTTAATTACCTTATTTCTTGTTTAAATGCATATTTTACACATTTTATTTTAATTACTCACCATTTTATGACTTTTAACATTATAATCTGAAAACTAAATATATTACTTAAATTCTCTTTTCGTATGAAAAATTTTAAAACAGGGATCTACACGCAGTCCTACGTTACATTCCTTGAACTCGTAATAACTCATTTGCCGTTTTGGAGGATTTTTCCGGCAATGTGAACAAACGAAGCATCGGCATCTCATTTTCTTATCAATCTCTTCTGAAGAAAGTTTCGGAAAATGTCTTTCAGTTAATCTTTCAGAATCAATATCAGAATTTCAGAATCAATATCTGAAATATTTTGCATCATTTCTGCTATTTCATGCTCTGTTAAACATTTTTGACGCTTCGACATTGAAACGGTAAAAACAGAAAGAATTCACGTCTAACAAGATCTAATTATTTTCTAAAAACTGAACTGTAAACAGAAATACTCAATGCTTTAGCGCATATAAAACTTCTACTTACAATAAACTACCACCACGTGCGAATAAAGTGCGATTTAAAGAGACGTCATAAATCACGCCATTCGGAAACATTTAGTTCACCGTTTGTTTATATAATCAAAAACACGTGTATGTGAGTCATGCTTCTCTCATTTCGAGTAGAAGGTCTAATGCACATGTATCTGAAACCATATGGACATACAGTGCCATTTGTGGCAGAAATTATAGTTTGCAAAAACATTCCAAGGTACTGGCACAAATACGTGACAGTCGGTAGAGAATGCAACAATCCTCTGGCACGCCTGCGTGTCGGCCGGTAGATAAGTGTGTTCGTTGCTTGCACGTATGCGACAGTCGGCGCGAAGGGGTTAAGATGCTCATGTGGGACAGAAGAGAATCGAAGACAGTCACCTTACAGGACTGAGGTTTTGCATTGCTGAGCCTAATTTTGTAAAAAAAAAAAAAAAAATAAATAAAATAAAAATAAAAATAAAAAAAATAAAATAAATAAATATCAGAAAAAAAAAGTTTCACTTCTAGCATCGTAATTTTTGGTATAATTTTAGATTATAACTTGAGCTCTTATATATGTTAAAATCAGCACTTAATAACTTTTTTTTTCTTTATTTGACATGAAAATATACTTAACAAATTGCTTATCTTGTAAAATAATTTTCGAAATTATTCCAAATTATTCCAAAATTTTAATTGATAAAATCCATCAAAAAATTTTAAAATCAATATAACACAATAAAGGCTATTTACAGTAAGAAGGAACAAAATGTAAAATGAAGACTGTGGTAAATCTCGAAGCACGAAGTACCACTTTCTAACTCTTTAGAAAATGAATCACTCTCGTCTGTGTTAGTAAATGGTTCATTAACCATATAAGGGTATTCTTCCTCTGATAAATAGCGCCTTCCCGCCATAATAGACGGGAGGTGAGGCTTTTTGAAATAGAGAAGAAACCAAAATATATCTGAAGGCAATGCAAAAACGTAATAAAACTCCGCATAGTAACCCCAAAAGACCATATATAATAGAGAGGAAAAATAGAATAAAAAAAGGAATTGGATATAAATCAGACACGCAATTGTTTATATTAGCCCACCTCTGTTTATGCTTTTCCTCCCCCATCCTCGAGTAGAATACCAAAGTCGGGCAGAATATTTCTAACTCAAGGTCAGGAACCTAAGACTGTGTTTATTTCAAAAGTAATGGACATAGGATGCCATCTAGTGGTCTTCACAAAAAAGTTCCAGCTTAAAATGCATATACGCATCATTCATTCTCTGAATGCAATCTCTAATGATGCATGGATGGGATGCCCATTCTGAAAGGGTTAAAGCTAATGAAGTTCACTAGTGCCTTGGATAAGTAACATTCGTATCAAAATTATGTTCACTTTTCGTCTTTTCTATAAGTGTGAACAGGGTTCATAGCGGTCCTTACAAGTGCTTATAAGTCCTTATATTTGAAAATAAAATATATATGCCCTTTTAGGTGCTTACTTTTTCTTTAAAGCCCTTATTTTTTTGTTTTTAGTGCTTTTTTTTAATCCCTTTTTTTTTAATGAACCCCCATTCCCCCCCCCATACCAAATCCGAAACTAAGTAAACAACTTTTCTTCCTTATATGCAACGTCAGATGGTGAATCATGCTCCTGGAAATTGCTTTCCCCCCTTTCCTCTGCATTAACACCTATGGTGCGCGCGAGAGTACAGACAGGTGCACGTCGTTCTATTGGCCAAAGAATTGTGAAAACGGTAGAAAATTCCGGTGCATTCGGTATTCTTTTCCTCCCATCCAAATACTACACACGTTTGAATTTCTATCAAGATTTTAATAATTTGCATTCTCGTTCCGCATGGTCAGTTCATATTCGTGTTTATTGTGATCGTTATGCTTATATTATGAGCATATGTATGAATATTTATAATATAGTTTCAGTAACTGCTGAAGTATAGATAAACTTCCAAAAATGGGTGTGTTTTTACACAGATTAGCTTTCTAAGGAATAATGTTCGGAATGGCTTAAATAAAAAGAAAGTAATCGAATAGTCAAAATAATTTCATTTTCTTTGCCAATACATTATACAGTACGGAGGTTGGGAGTTTCTCCGCAAAATCTCTAATATTGAAGCAGTGGACTTTTTTTTATCACTGTCCAATCTGAATTGAATAGTTTTTGCGGTCACCCAATCCAAGATTGATTCTATTCCGGAAATTTAAGTCTGTTTAAAATTAGAATCAGAAACACACCAGATTAGTAAGTCTCTTTCTTTTCCTTTATTTAGTTCTTTATTCTCCAAATACTGGCAGGTGTTGATTCCGATTGCATAATACATATGGAAGAATTACGCCGCAAGTATTGTGCGTAGAATATTTCTCAGTTCCGTTGGTTTTTATATGACTCACATATCGAAATGTCAACATAATTTATTTAGCTTATATTTAAATCTAAAGAACGGCTACAATCTCCCCCACTCCTCTTTTTCCATTTACTATCCGGAATATTTGGGCATTTTCGAGTATGCAGGTTAGTTAAGCTTTTACTGTTAAAGGATGACTGCATGAAGCAATTTCCTGTCTTCTGATTGCAGAAATGTGCCTCTTTTTTTTTCTTAGATTACTTTGTTTGGGATATATGTTATGGAAAACTGTTATGGAATGAAAATTTAGAAAATGTTCAGAATTTTGATTTAAGTTAATTATTTAAATATTAATATGAGTGGAAAAATAAATTGTATTTATTATTATGTGCCAAACGAATACAATTAATATGGCTTATTATTATTTATTTTCTATATTTTCAACTGAAATATCATCAGTAAATTTTGTAATATAGTTTAGTTCTGCATAGTTTTTTTCCCTCTCCTTGTTAACTAATTCTGTAAATTGAACTGTCATTTTGAAAAAAAAAAGTTAATTGTTTTCCATTGTTGAGGTAATGCTCATTCTCATAATAAGTATTGCATTGCTCATATTTTAAATTACAAGTCTAATTTTTCTTTTAAGGTTATTTACGGTTAAGGTTAGGTTAGTTAAGGTTTATTTTAAGGTTATTTTGTTATTACATGGTTTGACTGTAGTTTTATAAATATTGCTTTTCAACCTTATGAATATTACTGCTTAATACTATTTAAGCTGACTAAAAATTTTCAACTTTGTTTTCAGACGGGAAGAAGAAATGAGACGAGAAGAAGCACGTCGTCAACAGGAAATGATGCTTCGCCAACAGCAAGAAGAAATTTTGCGTAATGATTTAAGACGAAGGCAAGAGGAGAGTATGATGATGCCAGTATGTAATTTTGATATTTATTTAGATTTTATTTAGTTATTTCTTATAATTAAATAAGTTTTTTTATAAATAGCTATGGGCTTTCTAAATATTTAGTTATTTAAATTTGGATAAAATTATTTCTATTTTAATAGTTTATAATATCATTTGTAAAACTGTTTTATTTAATTTGTCTTCTTTATCTTCAGTTTCAGTTTTTATTTTTTATATACTTGGCTGTGGAATATTATAATTCTCTTTAAGATGTGAATCTGACAACACATGCATGCAGTTCCTGATGAAATTGTGAAAATCTGACTTTCCTTATTTTTTCACTGGAATGCTTTAAAATTGAAATCTTTTATACCCATTATGTGTGGGTGTTTTTTCTTTACATTTAGTTCTGTAACTTTTGCATGTAATTTCTTCTGCTCTTTGCTTTAGGTTTTTTTGTTTTCTGGCAATAAATAAGGTATTTAATTTCTCTTTATTAAACAGCTGTTTCATGGCTATATTTCATTATCTGTTATTGAAATAATTGTCCTTTTTTTATCTCTTGTCTTTTGCCAACTTGTTTGAAAACTTGGCTTATATTGTTGCCTGCTAGTTTAAAAACAACAAAAGTTTATTGTATATCTACCAGTTTTCACACATTATGCATAATTTTTTTGGTACTGTAATTAACTAATAAAATAAGTATTAATTTTTACATATTTCAAGATTTTATATTTTCCGTTAAATTGGACTTAAGAAAGTGCTTTCTAATGACGAAGATCATTTACAGTAAAATCTGCATATCTCCTATCTTGGGGAGAATGTATGTATTTTATTAATACTACTAGTTATGCAGATTACATATTTAGTTTTCTGAAGCATAGCAATGCTTACACAATCACCTTGATTTTCATTCTGCGATTCTAGGCACATTCTTGATATTTCAGTGATTTTTTTTTTTTTTTACAATAACTTCAGGTGAATCAACATGTTGTTCATTTCCTTTTACTGTAGTCCTCAAAAGCACATTTTAATTTTCTGGCACATTTTAATTACCATCATTGCTATATTGCAATACTTTGTTTCCCCTTCAGTGGTGGAATAACGTTGCTGTCATCAGGATCACTCTCATATTCATCCACACTAAATATGTCATTATTGCTATCTTGAAACAATGTTTCTTCTTTCACATTTTTTGCCACGGTGAATAATATTTTTTAATTTTTGTTGGCCAAACAAATGGGTAAATACTGAATCAATGGAACATGAAATCACATGCAACTAAAATTTAACTCTTAAGTACAATCATGTAATCTTCAGGTGCAGTATATTGTTAATGTGCCTAAGAGACACACTTCAACTACAACGCCAAGCTTTGGCAGTGCTTGTTAGGAGTACATTGAGTGCAAAAGGTTAAATATATGTAAATATAATTATATGTATTATAACTCAGTTACATTAAGGAGGTAAAAATTTAAGAGCTAATTTTTTAAGTCGTGCAGTTTTTAAGAAACTTGGCCCTTCAACACAATTTAAGTCGTAAAATCAGAATATAGGTGGAAAAAATTTGTATGTTATTTAAAAAAAAGTTCGATTTTGTGTCAGAACTCCTATGTAAGCATAATGCTATATATAAATCTAATATATAAATTTTTTTCAAAATATGAAAAATGCAAATTAGTCAGTTGGACCAGTTGAACGGGAGATATAGAACTGTCCCTTTTTTTTTATGCAGAGTGTACATACTAATTAAAATTTAAAAAATTTATGAAAACCTTTTCACAAATTAAAAAAATGTAGGCTATTTCCCTCCTTCCATTAGGTTTGTGGAAGATTGAGAATGTTCTTTGTTAAAATGTTCTTTGTTGTTGTTCCGAGTCGTTCCATTTCGCTTAGTATTGATCCAAAGGCATGGGAAAAGACAAAATGTGCCAGTGTGGCACCAAAAATGGCAAGGTGTAGCATATGGAGATACCACTTAAATCTTCCTTTGATCATTAATGGATTCCTTGTTTGTTTGCTTGCCTGTTACTAAACTGTTTATAGTATTGAAAAACATAAATGTCGTATAAATACTTAAATTATGCAGCTGAACGATACCTGATCAGTAAAGTCTGTGAACACTGGTAGTTCGATTTGAGACTGGATGCATTGGCGTTTTCGTGGTCTACTACGTGTGTAACATGGGTATGGGCAAATTTCCCTTAAAAAAATTCTCATTAAAGGTTTCCCCATCTCTTTGCCTTAACCGGATAACCAAACCAAACTAACTTGATTTATACAAAGTGTCCATTAATGCTTTGCAATTTTACCAGTTTTTATGCAAAACTTTTAATATTTTGAATACATAAGAGTATGAAACGCATCAGGTATGAAAATCAGGTTACTGGATTACATTTTGATAGCATTAAAGCCAACTGCATGGATTTTCATTGTTCCAGTAATTTAATATAAAGAATTATCTGCCATCCAGTAGTCTATATAGTTTGTGGTTACTAATGCTTTGATGGCCCTGTCTGAAGACGCATATCTTTTTGAGCCAAAAGCATAATCATGTATATTAGCATAACCAATTTTTCTCGCCTGATTTTGCTGTAAGATAATGAAGTAAATGCTGCTTTGCCAGTCATGTTTACTTCACAATTGTTATTTAAACAAAAAATTTCACTATAGTCATTTAACAAGAAAGTAGCTTATGTATTATAATATTGGATGAACTTAAATATTTTTGAATTTTTATCAATGATGAAATAATTTAATTTGTTAGCTTAATGGTAAAAGTGAAAATATATTAATATCCACAGATTTAGATTTTCACTGATAAAAGACTTAAATATTGTGATTTATTGTTTGCCAAGTTTTCATGTACAGTTGACAAAAAAAATAGATATTCATATTGTATGCATTATCTCGTACAAGTTTTGGAATGCAAGGTTTAGTATGCATGCCTGAGAAACATGTCTTATGAAAATCGGTTCTGGTTGGGAGCAGATGTACTCATTTATCTTGTTTATAACTTTGCAAGTGGTCGTTAATTGAATAATTTTTTTCTAGGGTGGTGGTTATGGGGACATGATGGATAGGGTAAGAAAATGATTTTACTTGGTAGATATAGTAACTAGTATTTAGTTTTCATATATTTTTCTTCCATCTACAGTTAGGTAATTTTCTGATTCAAAATTTTTATTCGGTTACTTTTTAAATGTTCATTTAATTTCCACCTTTTTAATGTAATTTGAAGTGATTTCTTCTGTTAATTCTCTTTATTAGAGGAATTAATCTAATTGTTAATTCTCTTCATTAGAGAAATGAATCTAATCATTTCATTTTTTTAACAAACAGTAAAATTGTTTAATTAATTACTTCATTCGTAGTAAATATATTTGTTTCTATTTATTGGCATTTTGGCTGTTTCCTGAAGATTTAATTACTTCTGGTATGTGGAGTATTATATGGTATGTTGTTACCACAATTAGTATTTTCAGAATGTGTGTCTGATTTTCATTATTATTAGATTAAATTTTATCAATGATAATTAGTATAGCTAGTTGTTCTATAAATAAAATCTTAATTTAAGGAAAAACTGTTATCTTCCTCCATAAAATTGTAATTATTCTTGATTGAAATTTATCATTTCAGTCTTTTTTTTGGGATGGAAAATCATTAAATATTGTACTAATCAACATTTACCATTAATTATAAAATTTATTGCAAGTCATTTCAGGAATCATACTTCAACAAACAGGTATCTATTAATAAATAAAAATGTTGATTTTTTTTTTGGAAAAAGTAAAAAAATAATGTGTACATTTCCCATTAAACTTTTAAATCCTTGCAACTGCCTTTCTTTTTTAAATACAGTAAATGAAGTAGCTTTTTAAGTTGTAAAACCTCTTATAAAAATCTGAAATGTGGAACTATATCATTTAATTTTTAATAACATTTTTTTTAAAAAATTAAGTTTTTTTCTTTCGTGCTGCAAATTTTTCCTGAAGTATAAAGTTTTGAACTATTAAATTACAAAGTAGTTAATTTGTGTAACAACAGAAGAGAGTATGTTAAGTGATTAAATGCTATTCTGTAATGTAATTGTATTTATTATGCAGAATTAAAACATGGTATAAATGTCATGGACGCATAAATGAAAATGTATCTTTTGTAATTTATTCCTGTCAGCTTTTAGTTATCATATCTGAAAAGTCCTAGTTTTAATACATATGTTTAAATAAAAACCTTTGCCTTCAAATTGTAAGTTAACATGTACGAGGGCTATCCAGAAAGTAGATTACGTTTCCGTCTGTGTCCGCTAGGGGCGGGGCTAGCGCGGCCATCTTGGGGTCAGAGCGTTGCGCAGCTCAGTCTGCATCTAGCCGTGCTAGTGAGAGGTTCGTGCTGTGCTCCGTTCAGATACTGTGACGGTTTGAAATGTCTGCGTTAATTGAAAATCCCGCGAGCTGCGAGGTGCGCTCAGTAATAAGGTTTCTGACTGCAAAAAACTGTAAACCGATAGAAATCTATCGGCAGCTTCGTGAAGTGTATGGGGACAACATTATCACTGAAGGTGGAGTGCGTCAGTGGGTCATAAGATTTCAAAATGGCCGAACCAATGTTCACGACGAAGATCGAAGTGGGAGACCCAGCATAGTGACCGCCGAACTTCTCGAAAAAGTCGATGCTAAAGTCCGTGAAAATCGAAATTTCACAATAACGGAACTTTCTTTGAGTTTTCCACAAATTTCGCGAAGTTTGTTGCACGAAATCATCAGCGAAAAGCTTGGTTACCACAAGTTTTGTGCAAGATGGAAAGGCAAGAAGAGGTAACGAAGTGGTTGAAGGCGCAGGCGGCCGAATTTTTCGACGAAGGAATTTCCAAGCTCGTACATCGCTACGATAAATGCCTTAATTTGTATGGTGACTATGTAGAAAAGTAGTATTTGAGTGTGGCTTTCATCTGTATATAATAAAATTTGTTTCCTATACTTTGTTTATTTTTTTATTCCAAAACGTAATCTACTTTCTGGATAGCCCCTGTATATTGTAAATTATTCCCTGCCATTGTGCAGTTTTTTGCCCAATAATAAAGACTAATCAGTTAATTAACTAAGAAAGCTGCTAATTAATGTGACTAAAGCTGATATGTAATATATATAGTAATTGACTTTTATGAGGATTTATACATGTATCAGAGGGATATTAGTTTTAAAATTATATAAAATTCAATTTTAGAACGGATTTAATTTGGTATAAGATGTCTGCATTTCAAGAGAATCTGAACAGTGATATGTTTACCTTAGACAGCATATTATTTTGCTGAATATTTTTTTATTATTGTGAAGAGAATTTATTGATTATTTCAAAATGCTCAGAGATTTTTTTTTCTCAGAAAAAATAAATAAATTCTGAATTAAAATTGAATTTTGTTTAATTTTTAGGAGGTTTTTCTGGAAAAAGTAATGATTTTTCATGAGTTTCTTCTAATTTAAATTTATTTATCCATACTAATAATATGTTAGTAATTTATCATGCTGTGGAGTTCAGCTTAGCATGTAGCTGAAATAATGCCTGTTTTAACAGGATGCAACCTTGCGTCAGATGCCGAATCCTGGTCCTATGTCGCCAGGAATGCCTGGTGATCCTTTGACTTCAGCTGGTAGTGGCTATGGTCCTAATGGTATGATGCAAGGAGCTAGTATGGGAATGCCACCGGTAAGGTTCATACGTGTGTCGTCACATTTTTTGTGTAATAGTCAGCGTACATAACATTTCAGATGTAGAAATAAACCTACTTGGAATAGGGAATGATTGCCACAACCTATTTGGGAGGAAGGCTGTTTGTTAAGGAAATTTCATAAAAGACTGTAAGAATTAATTTACAGAACACACCTTCTGATTTAAAAAGTATTGCTAATATTCAGATAATTTCAGTAACATGTATGTTATTTTTTAAAGGAGTGCATTAGGTTTTTGAAAAGGTGCATATTTACATGTACGGCCCAGATATGTATATATAACACCTATAAATTGTTGATCAAGTAGTGTATTGTTAAATTTAGCGATCCGATCTGGAATTATAATAAACACAGCCACCTTCTAAATTTTGTTTTATCAGGATCACATATATGTAAGATAAAAAATATGTGAATCAAAATTATAATTTAAACTAATGGTAAACTCTAATTCTTCCTCTCCTGTTTTAAAAATTGTAATAACTTTTCTGGATTGTGTCATTTCTAGATCATCCCATTTAGCCACAGCCTGTGCAGTGCTGATGATGTAAAATAAGAAACTATATTTATTTATATTTTATATATTTTATTATTACTAATTTTTTTAAGGACTGACTATCTAAATTTGGGATCTCTTGGGGTTTCTGAATAGTTGGAACTTTTTCTGTGCTGTAAATCAAATTGGTATATTTGATGTAATTATTACATTTTTCCAATCGAGTATTATCCGTTATTTTTAGAAAAGCTTTAATTTCTTTAGGAATGCTCTTAGCATTCGAAGTTTTAATTTATAATAATTATTTCCTACATTGGCTCTATTTTGTTGCTTTCAGAGGGTAGAAATTTTCAGTTTTGTCTTTGTCTAAATTGATATTTAAATAGTGAAGAATCACTGAAGTTATCGGATAAGACTGTTCTAGACCCAGTAATGTGATTATTCATTTTAACTTCTTTATTCTGTAAGTTTCGAAGTGCTGAAGGAAATGGTTACCCCCCCCCCCCCCCCCCCCACCGCCCCCCCCCCCCCCCCCCCCCCCCCCCCCCCCCCCCCCCCCCCCCCTCCCCCCCCCCCCCCCCCCCCCCCCCCCCCCCCCCCCCCACCCCCCCCCCCCCCCCCCCCCCCCCCCCCCCCCCCCCCCCCCCCCCCCCCCCCCCCCCCCCCCCCCCCCCCCCCCCCCCCCCCCCCCCCCCCCCCCCCCCCCCCCCCCCCCCCCCCCCCCCCCCCCCCCCCCCCCCCCCCCCCCCCCCCCCCCCCCCCCCCCCCACCCCCCCCCCCCCCCCCCCCCCCCCCCCCCCCCCCCCCCCCCCCCCCCCCCCCCCCCCCCCCTCCCCCCCCCCCCCCCCCCCCCCCCCCCCCCCACCCCCCCCCCCCCCCCCCCCCCCCCCCCCCCCCCCCCCCCCCCCCCCCCCCCCCCCCCCCCCCCACCCCCCCCACCCCCCCCCCCCCCCCCCCCCCCCCCCCCCCCCCCCCCCCCCCCCCCCCCCCCCCCCCCCCCCCCCCCCCCCCCCCCCCCCCCCCCCCCCCCCCCCCCCCCCCCCCCCCCCCCCCGCCCCCCCCCCCCCCCCCCCCCCCCCCCCCCCCCCCCCCCCCCCCCCCCCCCCCCCCCCCCCCCCCCCCCCCCCCCCCCCCCCCCCCCCCCCCCCCCCCCCCCCCCCCCCCCCCCCCCCCCCCCCCCCCCCCCCCCCCCCCCCCCCCCCCCCCCCCCCCCCCCCCCCACCCCCCCCCCCCCCCCCCCCCCCCCCCCCCCCCCCCCCCCCCCCCCCCCCCCCCACCCCCCCCCCCCCCCCCCCCCCCCCTCCCCCCCCCCCCCCCCCCCCCCCCCCCCACCCCCCCCCCCTCCCCCCCCCCCCCCCCCCCCCCCCCCCCCCCCCCCCTCCCCCCCCCCCCCCCACCCCCCCCCCCCCCCCCCCCCCCCCCCCCCCCCCCCCCCCCCCCCCCCCCCCCCCCCCCCCCCCCCCCCCCCCCCCCCCCCCCCTCCCCCCCTCCCCCCCCCCCCCCCCCCCCCCCCACCCCCCCCCCCCCTACCCCCCCCCCCCCCCCCCCCCCCCCCCCCCACCCCCCCCCACCCCCCCCCCCCTCCCCCCCCCCCCCCCCACCCCCCCCCCCCCCCCCCCCCCCCCCCACCCCCCCCCCCCCCCCCCCCACCCCCCCCCCCCCCCCCGCCCCCCCCCCCCCCCCCCCCCCCCCCCCCCCCCCCCCCCCCCCCCCCCCCCCCCCCCCCCCCCCCCCACCCCCCCCCCCCCCCCCCCCCCCCCCCCCCCCCCCCCCCCCCCCACCCCCCCCCCCCCCCCCCCCCCCCCCCCCCCCCCCCCCCCCCCACCCCCCCCCCGCCCTCTGACAATATCCAATGTTAAACCCCCCCCCCCCCCCCCCCCCCCTATTTCTTCTTCAGTGCTCATACCCTTGTCATCTGAAATTATAAGAACACCATAAAAAAAGGGAATATAATAATTACATTTTAGTGTGTTTAAAAATACAGTTAAGAATGATAAGTTAGTGTTTAACTCATTGAACAGAATGAGGTAGAGATTAAAAATAAAGAAACTAGGCAAGATTTGAGTAAAGGAAACAAGCTCACATTTGCTGTGTTGTTGCAGTAACTAGAAAAATTGTGAGTATTTATGCTTCACAACAGCATGCATTAGGAAAATCAGTTTACCCTGAAGTTGTAGATGAGGGATAAGTCCCCCCCACGACAAATGTCTTGTACTAGGTCATTTCAGAATTTCTTGTTTAAAATGATTATAATAATGCTTTCACTTGTGTTGTGTTCCATAGTTTTGTACCTTGCGATGTTTGTTTGCCTAATATCAAAGTTGAAAATGCCTTCTATTTATGTGATGAGAGTTAAAAAAAAAAAATGTGGTTGTAGAAAACGATAGGAATTTTAGAAAGGTGGCTGTGGTTTATAACATTTTCACATGACTAGTTCTGGCAATATAGAGAATTTTTTCAATGAATGATTGCGTATATGTACTTACTCATATGCAAGTAGTAGGCAGTTTTTTATGAATTTTAATCCTGCGCCTATAGAGTGGAATCTACTAGATGATCACCCATGGTTTAGGAGATTAGGTGTTCTGATAAGGTTATTCCCATAGATTGTTGAAGTTCAGTACTGTTTTTTAATGTTATGTTTTCAAAAATACTAAACATACATTTTCAGAAATACTTGACACTTTCTGAAGTGATTATCTTAGAGATTATGAGATGTTTACCTTTTTTGTAACATGAATTTTCCTCAAACTTTGAGCAAATATTTCTTTTCAGATGAATAATCCAGGTAGTTTATTAACTACCTGGATGCCTGGCTGGCTTTAAATGCATATATTATTGTGTAGAAACTACGTATTAGGTTTTGTAAATACAAGCTTAGTGTCTAAATGAAATATATATCCTTCTGAGTGTGTTATTACCCATATAATTTTTTAGCCATTCATTCTCCCCCCTTTCAGCTCTTTTTTAGTATATTGTGTTTTAAAAAGTTTTAAATTATTATTCTATTCTACATCAAAAGTTTGGTAAAAATATATTTTAGGGTGCCTCTTGGTAAAAATTGGCGATTGGCCAGCAAGGCACAATTTCAAGATGGCTACTAGACACAACTAAAATAGCAAATCAAATAATTGCACAAACTTGATATTGCACACTGACTTTGTCCATGTGCATATCAATGTGTCTTCGCTTAGAAATGGAAGGAGACCCAATTCTACACTAGAGCCAAACAAAAAATATATGATCTCAATAAAGTGCATTTTAAATCAAGCAATGAAATAACATAAAGGAAATACATCTTATCGCATCTATGCACTACACACGAAATATCCATTTAGTGTATTTAGAAATTTCTGTTTTCAGTTTGTGTCACACAAAATTCCTTAACAGCATCCAGAAACTTTCCTCAGATAATGTTCCCTTTCTAGTGAAACATTTTAGATGGTGAGCATTTGAATCATTCTTGTGACAAACATATTCAAAGCCATCTGAACAACCTTTAGTTTCGACCATACGCATTTCCTTCATACAAACAGGACATTTATAATGGATACTAAGTAAACCTTCATTTACACACCAGTCATTACTGCTTTTTTTCCCTTTTGTTCCAAAAAACTTCAAATTAATCTTCTCACACACAGCCATTTTACCGTATAAAGCACAAAATAAGTGACATACTTCCTAACCAATATCCAATACATAAATAAGCACTTACAAATATTTTCCCATCAATCAAATTCACCATGATCAAGCAACCAATCACGTCATACTAGTGTTTCCATAACATTCAACTACTCAGGTTTCCATAAATGAAACAACAACTTGGCAATAATCAAAGGAGCACCCTAAAATACCAAAAGTTTTACTCTAGAGATTACTTAATGTCAAAATTTCTCCTTGAAAATAATAATAATAATAAAAGTTATTTTTAAGGTACAATCAATGTTTGAAAAATCCTCTGTAAATTTTAAGTATATTTTCTATTGCATTTATTAAAAAAAAAGTCATTTTGATGAGAAATCTGTAGCTTTTGTTGTGCATCATTGAGACCATAAAAATACATGTCGTTTTGTGTTTTACAAAGCGATTTATGGCTGGATTTGATGACATAAACTGGAAATTGTGAAATTAACGATTTCATTTATGATACAAAACTTTTTAATGTAGTTGTTTGATTGTTTTTTTAACACCATTCTTAAACATTATTAAAAACAAATACCAGTTAAATATTTATCTATGTAGTTTCTGTATAGTTGGAAAATGTAAGCCACCAAATTAGAAATGTATAAAATTTAAATTTATTTAGCTTCGTACATTAATCCTAGATTGGGTAATATGTATGATAAATTACTTTTATGCTTGTTAAATTAGTTATTTTTGTATTTTAATTATAAGTTTAAGGTGATGTTCTCTTTCTGAATTTGAAGCCGTTCCTCCCTTTTTTAAATCAATGAAGAACGAGGAAAAAGTAATTATTCATGAAA